TTGCCGTGCGCAGTGCTAGAGTGTTCAGGTTTCTCTTGAAGAAAAGGTGGCAACCCTAGTCATGGGTATTCTTACTTGAATCTTGGTGTGCTTTGTGTATTTCTTCCAGATCTGTACAGTAATCCAGTGTGAAACTTTGCTGCATGTATTTAGGAGCTTTATGTAATAAAGACTGGTCACTGCGGCTCAGCTAAAATATCAGATTTGGATAAACTTTTAAATTACTTTTTGTCTCTGCTCAGCTCTGCACTGTCTATGTACAGCATAGTACATAATGCACATAATGTCACTTCTAATTTTACAAGTTAATAAATAGTAAGATAATAATAATAATAATAATAATTAGTAACTACTAATAATATATGTGTTTGTAAAGACATTTGGTGCACACAAAGTGGATGTCTATCCTTTGTGACTATTGAAAAATAGCAGTAAAGAGTATAAATGATATAACAGAGGAGAACAAAGAAGAAGTAACAATCAAGGGAATTCACTATCACATTTGTGCCAGAATCCTATATTTTGTGCACCAAATTCTATAGGATGCTGTGCCATTTTCCAGACCTGTACCGACTCTATAACAGGAAAAGTGATGCAAAGTAAGACCAAGTACTTTTTGGTGTAACTGGTCTGTCACATATTCATATTGTACATGTCTGTCACAGTATGTCACATATACCTCAGGTGTGACATTCCTCGAAACTGAGGATACAACTGCAATCTGTCTCAGACACATATGTGACACTTTGGACAGAGATGACACATCTATGTACTTTATCAGTGTGTACATATCTGTCCCAAAGTTGGTCTTGTAAGCCAGCACCAGTCTCATAAATTTGTATTAAATTCATGAATACTATGCAGCCTTGTACATGAATTTGGTGAAAGAAACTACAGTATTCCTGTAACCCTGACACACTTTTCTTATGTATCTCAGTGACACTGTTTTTGAAATGCCCTGAATATGTAATACATTCTTTGTCCACTTTCCTCTTCACTTGGGGTGGATGAAAGAATTCTAGGAATTAGAATTCTATCATACAAAGGTCTGTCTTCTTCTGAATCAGTCATGAGTTACATCTTTTTGGGGCATTTTCACTTCAATAATGAAAATGTATACATATGGATAAAAAAAATAGCCTCTATGTAAATACATGTCATTCTTTTCATTGTATATGTAAAGTAGAATATTTAAGTTTTGGACAGAGTAAGGGGGGTTTTAACCACATTTTCTTTGCCATCTGTGTCTTATTGGAGAGATTTCCCTTCACATCCTGTCTAATAGCCATAACTAGAAGTGAGGGGAAATCTCTCTAAAGAAAGAGAAATCAGTGGTGGTCAGCAGGGTCCCCAGAACAAGTGTCTCCATATGAAGATTCCCCATCTATTCCTGTTTTTGTGACAACCCAAAATGTGGGATTTTCTTTCACTTTCAGTGCTAATAATCACCGGACAAACATACATAAATCCCTCTCCACTTTATCCAAGACTAAAAAAGTTTTGGCTTCAGTTACACTTTAATGATTGCTTTGTGTTATCTAGATTAAGCTTGGACATATATTCCAATTATCATAAAAGATCTAATGTAATCTGCAAAATGATAATTTCCTTCTACTCCCATTATCTAACTTCATGTATTAGTAATAAAAGTTACATATGTAAATATGTGTCATTCTATGCAAATTCATTGACATCATTTTCTTTTTGTGAATGTGTCTATTCTACATAAGGACAGAGCAGATCATTCAAAGATCAGAAATCTCCACATAGTCTGGGTTCTAGAATTGAGTACCAGAAGTGATAAAATGAAGACTTTACTGGGACTATTCCTATCACTGGCATGGCTATCAGGTGAGAGGTCATAGCAGACTTTTCCTGAAGTAAAAGCATATGGATATTTTCTAATGAAGTGACTATTGTATTTCCAGTAATATATACATGTCAATGTCATTGTCTGATTTGTATACTTTAGGTGTAAAGTGTGATCCTCAACTTACCCAGTCTGACTCAGCGGTGATAAAGCCGGGGAACTCCCACACACTGACCTGTACAGGTTCGGGGTACACCTTTGGTGACCATGGTATGCACTGGGTCAGACAGTTCTCTGATGGAAAGTTACAATGGCTGTGTTATACATACACCGATGGGAGTAACACAAACTATCATGATGATGTTAAAGGAAGATTCACAGCCACTAAAGATAACAACAACAACAAGGTGACTCTGAAAATGGACAACATGAAAACTGAAGACTCTGCCGTGTATTACTGTGCAAGAGGCACACTGGTAGAAATCTATCTTTACTTCAACAATAACTAGTATATCCCTTCTTCATGTTATCAATAGGTGGCAGCATACACTTTTAGTTATAAAAGGATGAAGTAACCATCTCACTGCCAATAATGAAATATATATGGTTGAACTGTATGTCTGTGGTCTGTATACCTTAAGTCGGCTGAATGGGATTGCAGACAGCATGACAACAAATATATGAATTGTAGCGTCCTCATTCCTTGTAGGCCGGTGTGCTGCGCTTGGTGGTGTGTAGTTTACTTGTTAATTAAATTAAATAAAAAATGTGTAAATTGTGAAATATCTCAAACTTCATCAACTTAATAAACTAGATTCAAGAAATAAATTAATACAGTGCCAATGGTCGGAGTCTTTGTGTCAGTTATGTGTATGAATGCATGTCATAAAATGGTGAATAGGATGTGTGAATTAAATGGGTGATGGGTGATCCTGAGTGTACCACTTAAATGGGTGTATGTATGTGTGTTGTCGTGTAAAGGAGTATTATGATAAATAGGATGCGTAAGGATGTATATGATGTGTTTAGGGCGAGTGAAAATATGCTGGTCACTGGTTAAACAGCCGAAGCTTAAAACCAGTGTGCAAATAATTAATTATTTATAAAACCACATCTACTAAAATGTGAATGAAAATATACAATGTATGAATTATAACATATAAAAAGTGGGGGATACTGGACAAAAATCCAAAAAAAAACAAAAAATCTAATATCCTCCAAACGGCGTTGGAGATCCAGAGGATAGAGAAAGAAAGAGAAGAGACATCCGAGGGAAAAAAGGGAGGATGTGCTCTCTTTCAACTCCAAAGTACGTTTTAAATGTAGAGGAATAGCATGAACTTCCTAATCCTGATCCTGGAACCACTTTGTATCAAAGTGTCTATGCAACAACAGTATCTTTATCGTCTTTGTGACGATAAAAGATTTAACCACAACCCAACATCCTTCATACCCCATCTAAAAGAGTGGAATACCGAAATTTTTTGTCTAAATGATTCATCATATTGAAACCATCCCAAACCACCGAAATTCTTATAAGCTTCCAGGATGATTTCAATATGTTGAAAAAGCCCCACACACTGATCCGGATGCCTCTCTCCCAAAATACTAGCGTATATACAAAAGGCTTGAAGCCAGTTATGAAAAGTACGTGTAACCGGCCTGCGACGATCGTCCTCAGAGCCATTATCTAATTTAAAAAAAATAAATTCTTTAGCAGACGGTAACAATGACAGTAAGTCAACAAATTCACCTTTCCAAATCTTTTCTCTCAAAGAACCGGTCAAGTGCATTCCTATCGGTGAAACCTCACAAGGTAATGGTTCTCTCAAGCAAGATTCGGGTATTCGGGAAGTATTAGCAGGCTTAACAACAGGAGAAGCTATACTAGCACTACCCCTAAGTGCCACCGGCTGATCCCAAACCGATGCAATAGATGAGGAAGGGGCAGACATTCTATCAGCAATTTTGGACAGTGATGAAATCAAATCAGTTAAAACATTGTAATTCTCAGATTCACCACTGCAAATACCTGAAGTATGGACAGGAATTGAAGGATGTACTGCGACGCCGCTTCCTACCAGTGGTGACACCTGGGGAAGATGGCTTGCTTCAGCAGGAACCTGCTCATCGCTGACAGACATCTGTGCTGGTTGAAAGAGGAGAGAAGAAAGTTGCCCGACTGCCAACTCACTCATAGCAGGACGCCTGTGGAAAGGAGCTGCTGTAGAAATGGTAGCTGTCCGCTGTCCAGAACTTGCCCCATCATCTGCGCCTCTGAAATACGACCGTTTTTCACCTCCTCTTTTTGACCCGGCGTGAAGCGATGCAGACACCTGTCGAGGCGCCGCAGACTTTGTTCCGTCCATTCCCTCTGACCCTCCGCATCAACGGAACCTTCTGGCGGGCCACATTGGGGGGACGGCATACTCCCATCTTCCAACATCGGCCGTCCGTCCCTCAGGTCTTCCACCGCCGACTGGCGACTTCCTCCACCGTTGACCCGTCGTCCAGGCAGTGACGAAGCCAGTCTTCTCCCCCAGCGCTCTGTGCCTTCTCCAAGACCTTTTGCAGTAGAGTCTCCATATCTTGCAGCTTGAAAATCAGGATAACAATCTTGCTTGCAGCTTGAAGGTCAGAATTCCAACTGATAATTATTCTTAAGAGCACCTCCTTATATAGGGTGGCTGTGGAAACTTCCAGAAATCCTCGTGGCAATGTTTTCCCGCCAAAATAACGATTTTCCCGCCGATAAAATGACAGTTACATTTTCTTAAAGGGGCAGTAACTGAAATATATAAAACTGGGAGAAAACACACAAATAATAGTCCCCACATTCCCATGAAAATGGGCCTCAAATGGATGCCTCTCTTTCCTCTTTAAGAAACCTGTATAATGGATCCACAACACACCTTGAGAACTAGGGTCGGTTGCTATGGGTTACGGAAACTCCAAAATCTTGTCTAGGGATACATTCACTTGCTTTGCCTATGAGCACTTACCGCCCTTCTGATGATTGATGGAAGTGAGGTCCAGACTGTAAATATGATACTTGAAACTTTTATTGGAGAACTTCAGGGAGACAGGAGGAGGGTTAGGATCATCCAGGAAGGTGCAAACTCCATGGCTTTTCAGAGTGGGGTTACTGTCTCCATGTACAGCAGGTAGAACACCTGACTCAGCAATACTTGAGGCCGAAGTCACTAGTCCTTGTCCTCAGTAGTAACCACTGGACATGCTGCCACCAGGCTCCAGGGTAATCACACGGTTAGTCCTTAGGCTTTAGGCCTAGCCATCTTAGGCAGTCCAGTGCAGCCTCCCAACAGGCTGGCCCGGGGAAGGAAGAGAGAGCTCACGTGTCCCCACCCCAAGTATTTATTTCCTCCCCCAGCATGCACCACTGGCCATCGTTTAACAGTGATTGGCTGGAGAGGGATATCCAATTATAGCAATCCCAGTGGTTGCTCTGTTCTGTGACCAGGGAACACGCTGCAGTACCTCTAGCAGGAGACAGGTGGCAAGAAATTACAGATTGTTTAGGGGGAAAGCCAAATGAACCAGACTACAAATTAGTATCAGACCACATACAATCTGATAAACACTAAATTTAATAGCACCCTTTCCAGTAGGGGGCTACACAATAAATAAATACAGATAACCAATAATGGATGAAATTTGTCTGTGGTCCTGTAATACTGGTTTTATTACATGATAAACATATAAGCATAAAACTCTGTAATACTTCAATAAACTACAGAAACCCAGCCCAGTCACCACGACTTGAGTTTAAACATCATTAATTATTTGATTTTATCCACAACTCTCCCCCTTTGAACAATTAAAGGGGTCCACCTAATGTAGTAATGGCCGCGAAGGGTGAGAGGAAGGACAACTCACGGCAGGAGATCCTTGCTGACTGGTGACTGGGCAGCCTGAAACCCTTTTTTTATATGCTCTGCTGACCCTTCCATTAAGTTCTTGGGTTTAGCTGACCATGAACGACAGGTGTACCAGCTAGTAGAAAAGGGGGGCATAAAGCTGCCAGCTGTAATACTCCCATGAGGGGCGAGGGACCTGAAGAAAGGTGCCCATCTTTTCCTATTCATTCTCCCTTCTGTTATAAACAACTATGGGCTTTTTACTGTTTTAACTCTGTTTTTACTCTTCTCAATGGATGACAAGCCATTGATAAAAAATGTGACTCCCCTAGCCATTGCCCTGTACCACTCGCCTCTTGTCGGGTGCTTCAGGAAAGTGAGCAGGAGCTTGGTAAATTTCTCTTTCCATTCATTAGAGCTAGGCTGCAGAGGAGAAAAGATTGAGGACTCCGCATAAAAATAAAAAAATTAAAAATAAAACACAAAGATGGAAAAAAAAAGCTATTTGAAAAAAATGCACCATTAACATTAGCTGGGACATTGTATGGTGCATATAATGTGCATGCTGTTGCACATTGCGAACATGTGCTGCAGTGCGCTGTTAAAATGCTCGGATGTACTTGAATTTTTTTTTCGTTTTTGAACTTTTAAAAGATATATTGATCACATTGTGCTGTGACGTGTTGCTATGCAGTGGCGTAACAATCGCCATAGTGACCCAGGCGGCTGCTATGGGGCCCGTGGGCACAGGGGGGCCCGGCCAGATGCCGAGCGGGCCGCCTGGGTCGCTATGGCATCCTCTGCTGGTGGTTGTGAACAGGAACACGCCGCTGCACACATCACTGACAGTAATTTGTGCAGCAGCATGTTCCTCTCCACAGCCGCTGCTGAGTCAATGAGAGCCAGCAGCGGTGGTGGAGGAGGCAGGGCCCGAGGTCGACAGCAGGGGAGGAGGCAGGGCCCGGTAACGGAGAAGGAGGTAAGCCGGGCGACAGAGGAGGCGGCGGGGCCCATCAGCGAGCGTGGAGGAAGAGGAGGCGCATAGGTAAGGAGTGCAACCAGCCCACCTGAGGGTGACCCTGCAGAGCCCACCATAGAGGTTCTATGGTGGGCTCTGCAGGGTCACCCTCAGGGGGGCTGTGTGGGATCTCAAGTGGGCTCTGCAAGGGGTATAACTAGAAATCACAGGGCCCCATACAAAATTTTGCTATGGGGCCCTGTGTTTTCTAGTTACGCCCCTGTTGCTATGCATCATTTTATTACAACACATACAAACACAGCACATGCATTGTTGATTGAGCATTATCACAATACATAGCTGAGGGGCCAACCTCAAGATTTTTTGTTAAAGTTGCTTATTTAAGTTTTGTGCACCTTCCATGTTACACAGATATGCACAAAGGCACAGTTTAAGATGTCCAAATATTTGTTATTTTAAACCCAATACACTTTCAGCTTTTGTAGGAATTTTGTTTTCATTAACATTGGGGCAACTATTACAGGACCTACAACACCAGTAGCACCATCTATTTATTCTATTGGTCCTGCATTTTCAGAAACCATATGGCCTGGGGATATTTAACAAATGCTGAAAGCTGTTAGTGAAAAAGGAAACAAAACATTTCAAAAATAGTCTGACCATCTGAGGTTAAGGGCTTGTTCACACCATCTTCAGACCATTTCCAGACCAGAAGTTTTTTTTATCTGCACCAAAAACACATATAAACAGTAATTCCAATGATTAAAATGACTAGTTCACACCACCATGTTCAGTTCCAGAGCTTTTAAAAAAAGTACAGCAGCATGCATTTTTTTCTGGTCTGGAAATTACAATAGTGCATGCAAACATACAGAACACACTGGAATGTTCTTAAAACCCATACAAAAACAACAAAAAGGTGTTTGACCACATTTACAGAAACACATCTAGATCTGATCTGGAGAAGGTTAGATCTGATCTGGAGAAGGTATGAACAATTTCTATCAAAGTGCACTGCGCTAAGCGTTAATAGTAAATAACCACTAAATATATCAATAAACCTTGATTCATTCATCCAGCATCCGTTCAGTGCAGCTAGAGAAAAGTTATGAACCATAAAGTGCTCAAATATACAGCCAGTAAAAATGACATCAATGAAAGTGTTCCAGCAAATAACCACTAAATAATATTATCAGGAAGCTCAGAGGCCTTCACTTTTTCACATGTAGTAAGAAAAAGAGTAGAAGAGGGTCATAGGGCTAGATAGAGGAGGGTGATGCAAAGGCTTGAACCTAGGAATCAGCACTTGCCAACACCCATCCCACTTTCTCCAATAGCAACCTTCCCATGGCAGTTTTCAGTTCCCCAGTTGCTGGAGCAGAAGTAAAACAGTTCCCAAAGCACTTACAAAACAGCATTTGAACATTAGCTTGACACTGCTGGTCAGTTGGTGAAAACAGCATCTTTCCATTAATGGCTTGTGCTTCCCCATTGTGGCAGACAACCAGCTGTCATTATTTTCCCCAGAAGGGGAACCCTTTTCTCCACATTTATGTGAAGTGAAACGTGTCTCTGTCATTGGACCATGCTGTAAAGCAGGTTACACCTGACCACCATCACCTGGTCGACTAAGCACAGGAATGGATGGTACATATTGTTTGCAGTGCACTGGGGAAAACTTCTGGTGGCTGGGAAAAATGCAGGATAGGGCAAAATACTAGACTTTATTGTGAGATAGTGGCATTTTTCTCACCTATAACATACTGCCTCCTTCTTGATCTCATTCTCCCAGTAATCAGTATCAGGACCACTAGCCCCCCCTCAAGTGCCCCAGAACCTATGCCATGTTCCATGTGCTTGCAGTGCTGCAGTTTGTATTTCTTGGGGACAGGAGCCACACCATGCCAGAGTTGCTGGTAGCTCCACAAGCCCAGGTCAAGAGGGGTCAGCTGAAACCAGGCAAAGTCATATATGGTAATGGCAAAACCTGGCTGCCCTTTGCCTGGGGAAGATTACACATGTGCCTTACCTAGTCCATGTTCTAAGCCTCATAGTGCAGCACTTTCTGTCAAAATACCCTGGATTCCAAGAAGTGATTCACTTGGCCAGGGGGGTTTGTGGACACTTTTTCTGTTCCAATGCTCCAATGCTCCCCTGGCAGAGATGCAGTGTCAACACCAGCCACCTGCTGATGAATTGGTGTGTGACTCCACCATGCATTGAAATTTACCCTAAATATGCTGAGAAGGCTTCACCAGCAGCAGTAAGTGATCAACAAGT